AAACAGGCAGACAGACACACTTACGCATTTTTGTAATATTAGATAGATTACTAAAGCTAACCTAGCTTTAGTAATTAATATAATTTTGATATAAACTAATATTATTTTTGGTATTTCTCTTATGAAATCTAATTGTAATCAATACACTACCTACCCTATAGAATTTCATTTTTTATTGGAGGAAAATTATTTTTAGAAATAAGCTCACGCATGAGCATATTTTTTATGTTAACGTTTAATTTTTTTTCTTTGTTGCACACAAATAAAGAATAAAATACAACTCAAAGAAGAGCGTATACTGTTTCATTTAGACCGGAAGATCGAAAGTTATTACTGTAAAATTCTTTGTGTAAAAAATGTAACGTGTGTGTAAATTTACACATACATTTCTTAGACGTTTTCATCACTCTCCATTGATGAAAACGTCTCTGACAAACTTAACTGATCCGATATATGAAAATACTTATTTACTTAATTTACTCATGCCATGTTTCTACCTATATTTTCTATTGTTAACTGAGCAATGTAGTTGTACATATGTATTTAATTGGTCTTATGCTGTATATCTTAGTCTGTACCATGCGTGTTCTTTTGTCTATCTAAAATAGTCTATGTTTTTAAAACTTTCCATGAAAAAGGATCATAAATATGCTGTTGTATAATTAAAACTATACGGTGGATTGCTTAAGCTTTTAAGAGAGGTGGAGCATAGCGAGATTTCTCGCTTGAAAATGAGCTGAAGAGCCCGGCTGGCAAAGCACCTCGCCTTATATTGAACTTCAGCTAAATAGCCCCTCATTTACACATTTATTTTATCGCAAGTGTTCGTGATTAGACAAAGGTAAGGAAATTTTAAGGTATAGTAACTTAGTCAACTCGGGGAGAGGATTGTTAGTAATGGGAATTAGACAGTAGTGATGAAACTTGGGTAAAGGAATGTTAGTACTGGGAATTAGACAGTAAATGATGAAACTTCTAACTGCCGACAGTAATTAATTATATATGCTGCAGAAAAGCTTCCTGATTACGTTCAATATAAGACTGCAAAGAAAAAAAATATGTTGTTATATAGTATACGCAATATAGTAATACGTATAATTAAAATATAACGAATCGCTATTTTTTTAATGTATCTTCCATATGAAAGATAGATTAGAAAAACTAATATTAGAGGACACTATAAATGTAATAGAACCCAAAACAATATCCTTATACTTTTTATGTCTGTATATTTGTGAACTCTAGTCTCAGATTATCCTATTTTGGTACTTAATATTATTAAAGTTGTAGAGTTGAATATATTATGGTAAGCTTCGATGAAATTGTTTTGTTTATTTTATTCCAATCAGTATTGTTTTTCAAAATATCACGACGCACAAAGTCGCGGGTACTCAAGTAGTTTATAATATTATTATAAACTACTTGAGCCCGAGTAGAAGTATTAATTAAAGTGAGTAAAATTATTTATTGAAATAATCGAATCATTTGCATTTAAATTGTGCTCACGTTGCACAATAATGTAAGACATCATACATTGTTCATTACAACTATGTACATACTGATATCTAAGACAATAAACCACAACAATTTCTCGAGTTTGACTAATGTAACGTCATCAGTGGACGCCTCGTTTGTTTACGTTTAATAAACACAATGCAATCTTGATCCGGCATATTGTTATAAGCACCACACGGTCGCTTACAATACACCATCAGTAATAATAATGACGTCACGTCGCCAAACTGTCTCCAGCCCGACTTGCAGTCGTTAAAACAATCGTAATTAAGTCCCTAATTTATGACTCGTTACGACTCCGCATTAATTTTATCTTACACGACAATGACAAGTGAATTCGTTGTGTAATTGTCTTTTCTATATGTGGTTTATGTTTGCAAGAAGAAGACATAATAAAATATTAAACTGTATTCAAGTCACGAAAAAACTTCAATCCCTAAAACTAGTAACATTGTCTTGTTTAGATACATGCATACATGAGAATCAACAGCTTTTCTATAAAAAATAATCAATAAAACGAACCTGTCTATTTGAAGTCAGATTGAAAAAAATGTTTTCCAAGGATAAAATATGCTGGGAAAAGCTTACGATTGTTGTATTTTGAGTTCAATCGTAATAGATGGATGCAAGTTCAGTGGATCGAATTAGACTAACATTTGTTTAGGGGTGTATTTTCCATATAAATCTAGAATATAAATCACTACAATGAACTCAATAAATGTCATTCCCTTTCTTGTTATTTCCTTAATTTACAATGCTGCTTCTGCCTACTAGCACACGCCTCCACTGACAACCCTTCGAAAGACGTGTAATGTACCTCAAATAGTACTTATTTATTTTCTATACGTAATAAATCATATATAGAATTTACAAGTGTATTTTATGGGTATCAAATTGATAATAGAATAGAATTACAAGTATTATAACCTATAATTCCTCGCATGATTCCTCGCATGTTGCAAAGGTTTTCTACGTATAATTATTATGTATGTATTTATAGAAAAATGTCTAGTGCCTACTTAACTTAGGACTAGATTACATTGTGTGATTTATCCATTATTATTAATAGTAGTAACAAAAACTTGTAATATTGATACATAGGGGCAATGGAAAAAAACTGAAAAATTCTATAAATATCGTACATAATATTTTAATCGCACTGACCAAAAAAAAACTCATAACTGTAAAATTTCTATCATGCAAGAATAGAACCAACGACCATTCAAAGTAAAGCAGTGTGCTAAACCAAACTAAAATCATTAAGGCCCTTAAATAGACAATTTATACAGATCTTGTTATAAAGTTATATATAGGCAAGTTAACATAATCCTCTATGAATGAATGACAATATTATTCTAGCTTACGTGTTCTCATAATTCTGGAAGTACACTAAATTGTTTGCCATAGCAACATCATAACACTTCCACTAACAGCAATTCATGCTCAGTACAATTTCCATAGAGTATAATGTAAATTACTGAGATATACTCTATGGAATAGAGAGCCGGGATAGTGTATCATTCAAAGCAGGAAGAGTCGCTTTCGTGTATAGAATAATGTTAATGTATAAATACACTCTTTTATCCTTCACCAATTTCACCCCTTCTTGTTTTTTTAAGATGAAACATATCCTATTACTGTTCGCATGTACAACCCATCTTCATGTAAAATACCAATCCTTTCAGCCATTTAGTAGCAAAAAGATAACATATTTTCAAATTAATAATATCAGTATGATAGAAACAATAATAATATAAATTGATATACGCATATTAATATAGTACAGCTAAATTATTATTACCAATGGCTATTTTATACGCTATAATTAAAGTTTATATTTATTGTTATCAAGCGTAGATATATTGATAATGAAAAATCAACTATAGACTCAGTCGTGTTTATGACAACTATTACACACTGTGAACTACGTGATGTAATTGACAAACTCTGCATGTCCCTTCCGTCTTAGAACACAGTAGTCTGTATCATAATCGTTAGACCACAGCTTTCATTAGCACAATGCAGTAAACATCTAAAGTAGGTTAATATTCTTAAGCTACTCCAATACAAGACGCAGATGATCATGCAGTATCTGCATTGTACCCAATCAACAAGATACAAAGATAAATAAAGACAAATCGTCGAACAAGTTTATGTTAATCCCGTAAAGGGTCGACTGAGATAAAGTCCTCGTGGATTACAGTGTCGTAACTCGGCTTAGAACGGACACTCCTGACACTATCGGCCGCAATATTCCATGGATTACTGGGAGATTACTATTACCCACTGCATATATGACTGCCACTAATTAATACTCAGCCACGGAAAGTTTAACTATTGAACTAAATGTTCCAGAGTTTCTGAACTGAATAGGTAATAGCTGTGTGATTATATTGGTAATTTGAGTTTCAATTGCATATCATTCAATAAAAAAACCTAAATGTCATATCTACATGTAATATTTTCAGTAATTAATACTGAAAAATACTATTCAATTTCAAATCTAACTGAATTTACAGTATATGTTAAATTCTCATACATATAACATATAGTTTTTATATAGTAATTTTCTTTACCAGAGAAAATAGTAAAAACGATTATATGTAATATTTAACAAGTTTTTTAAACATATTCGAAGTCAAACATGTCGTCAATTAAAGTTTCCGGCATTCAACACAACGACAAACAATTAGTATGTTTGACAAAGCCATTAAGCAACAATGTACAATAAAAATTGTTTGACAGAGTTACTGAAACTTTACGAATTTACCGTAAAGTCCCCAAATAGGTACTCCGTATAAACAGTACATATAATATGGGTAGTATAGCTGATTTCTTATAAAGGCGACCTCACTCCCGCTGTCAGTAACACGTCAGACCCTTACAGTAACCGGCACAAGAACAAGCTAAATTTATGCATAATATTATCCACACACACTCAATTGATTCTCGTTCTTATTCACTTATACAAACTACATGCTAATTTAATCATCTAAAAGTATTTTAGTATTATTTTATAGCATTGCTTTTAAGGTTTGGTCAGTATTATATTTCATTTAAACAAGATAAAATTATTCATGTCACATGCAGTTTCGTTGTTATTTTTCTTGCTCCTTTATTTTTAATTTAGTTTCGTACAATATTATTAATATTGTTAAATATATTGTACAAGATGTAGATAAATATACTTACTTTTTGATTACCCTACTGTACAGTATAGAATGTAGGCGCAATTCCCATACTTATATTTATGGAAAATATAGCCAAGATATTTAATTAAGACGTGCTTTGAAAATATAATGATTGAAATGTTCACAATTTCTTCGTCCTCTATACAATTTAGGGCATCTTTTCCTACAGAGCTCTTCCCGTAACTCAATTCCTCGTACATTGTACGCCAAAATTAATCCTATTTGTGTTTTCAACAAAAAAGTTAAAAAGTAAATAAAATATGTGCATTTTAACGTTATACTTTGACGGAGATGCCATGAATGAGGCAAGCCAAAGAGCAGTGCTCACGACTTTTGCCGCTGAATAATTCATTTAATCCTTTCAATATCGCCAACTGAAGGTAAGCTTTAGCTGTTTTTGTCTTTTTATTTATATTGAATATTCTAGCTTATACTGATTATTATAAATATCTAAGAATTTATAAAAAATATATGTCAATCATTTTTTATAAAAAATATATCACATATTTTTAGGCTTCTTTGTCAATAAAATTATATTGTATTAAATAAGAATATTAAATGCAAAACAGACATCGAATATCTTATGCGTTTTCCAAAGGTTAAGAATTTGTAGGAATATTAAGTTCAAAAAATGAGTTTTCATATTTGATAAGTTAAATCTATATTATAATCATCACTAACGGTAGACATCTCTATAATAGGTTCATTAACAATTACTAGTGAATTATGAATAAACATAGACATAACTTTTATTAACACTCTGTGTCTGATTTGGAATATTTGTTCATAGTTTGTAGAAAAGATAATTTAAACCAAATGCCTTTGAAATTACGTAATAATTAGTACAGTATTATATATGGTAGTGTAATTTCTTTGAAACAAAATTAATAATTATTCCTATTGAAACAGCTTTGAAAAAAACCTGTTTTAAATCTCAATTTTTTTTCAGAACTACTAAAGTTACAACGCTACTAGGGTAACTTAGATATGTATATGTGTATATATAAAAAGCTTATTCTAGATAAATGTCTTAATTATCAGGGGTTAATAAACTGTACAATTTGTAAGTAAAAGTAACAGATAAAATAAATATTTACTTTTTTAATGATTCTGCGTGATATAGTACTTTTTAATTTAAATAATATTACTCAGCCTAGTATATATACCCATATAGAAGTATTCAGTGGACGGGTTTACATTGATGACCTTCGTAGAGCAGGCTACGGCTCGTTAATTTGCGCAGATTGGGATTTGATCTCGGTCGGATCAATTTATAAAAAGAACTCTTTTTAAATTACCTCGGGTCAGAGTGCTTTGAATTAGCTAGTAGTCTGGAATGGCAAATCGGATGTACATATATATGTATGCAAATATTGGAACAATTAAAAAAAATCTTGGGCATAGATATTACCATATTATCATGACGTATATTTGATCAATATAATAAAGTAAAGATATATTATATCAGAAGAGCGGGCATCTTGTATCTAAATTGTACAGATCAAGTATTGGCTAAGAGCAAATATGTTGTAGAATTATTTAAGATATCCTTGAATAAATATTTTAAATTGTTATCATAATACCCGCATGTAAATATGAATGCAACCTAAAGTTAGAACTGTTTACATGATTGGATTACCTAATCAAAGTTAAAAGTACTCGAACCACCGATCTCGTATGAATAGACTGATGAGTGTAGAGGAAGTGAAAGAGGTCTGTTTGCATTTGACGTTCCATTGTTTCTCATTCAATGAGGGACGACAGACGGAATATATACTCTTATGCATCTATGTAATTACTTCCTATCAGTTGTTTGTACTTATAGTATCATGAATGATAGAAAAAATATGGTGTAATACAAAACGTAAGAAATAACCCTGAAGAATTAACACAACGCCATTTATTTCGTGGAACTAAATGGCGCTGTGTTAATTGTTAATAAGCAGAGCTTGTGTTATGAGTACACTAGACAACTGATATAAATACATAGATTTTCAATACATATATAATATACACAGAAAATACCCAAATCGATAGAAACAATCATACACCAAGAATACAAATGTTTGCACCATACGAGGAATCGAACCAGCAACCAACGGAAGTAAAGCGGTATGCTAAACCGCTAGACCCCCGAGGTCATCGATGTAATTTATGTATTTAAAAAAGAAAGGGGTTTGAAATCAACTCAATGTTCTATAACTAACTATATGCTACGCAAATTCTTGAAAAAGTATAAAAATACTATGACGATACTTTGGAGTGAGTACTCTCAAATAAGTTCATGTGGCATTTAAATTTAACTGTGTTTTATAATATACGCATCCTGTAAATAACTAAAAGAAGGAAAATAATCTAAAGAACCTATATATCCTAACATTATTAAATAATATTGAATTTGTTATAGTTATTGAAAACAGTACTTTGCACTTCCATGAAATATATTGATAAAGTTCGAATTTGTTTCATTCAGATAACCAAACAAAATATTAATCACGTTTTATATCGTTACTTCATTAAACGTGATTGTTTATTAATTACTTACGAAAAAATTTGTATACATGTGATATTAATAACTTAATAGGATATAATTACAGTCCTATAGCAAAGGCTATATATAGATAAATAAAGAAATATGGACTGTAATTATATCACAAAGTTTAAATAGTATACCTATATAAAACATGTATAAAAATACATGTTTTATATACGTAGGTACGCTATTTAAACCAATTCAAGAGTGTATCAGGCTCTATCCGAATAACCTAGGTTGAAGTAATAAAGCAAGAGTAAATTACCTTAAATTCAATTATCTGAAGTTAGTTTTTACTACTTTAATAGGCACGACTTCGGTAGTCTTACGTTTAACACTCCGCCTTAATTACAATGGTCGCTAGATAGATTCTCGCACGTTACATAAATTAGCATATTAAAAAAAGTAATTTTAGTATTTCCAATTTCTATCGCTTGATTAGTACATGTAGTTCAATCTCTATTTTGTTTGGGACTACATGACTCTGTACGTGTTGTCGTGGTATAAAACGTAAAAAAAAGTCACAACAACTGCGGGGGAACGGATTAAATAATTGTAACAAAATAAATGTATATTGTAATGTAAATAGGTGCGTTACTTCCCTTAAATATTATAATCTATTTTATGTTTGTGTGAGTATTTAATTTATAGATATAGCGATATAGAGGTAGAAGTGTAATGATGGTACCAATATTGTTACCATCGTTACACCTCTACCAGATGCAAATCCGCTTTGTGTTATGTTATGATAAGACCGCCTTCTTACCCCTTTTATCTTGTTTATTATTGTTTTCTTTTTTATAATTTTATACATAATTGTGTATGTAATAGTATTTTCTATGAGAGTAACGATAAAGAGTTTCATTCATTTCATAAATCTACATCATAATCTGGTAGTTTGTGACTACAAAAATTAAAGTACTAAAAGAACATACGATAAACAAATTTGATTAGTTTTCACTAATCATTATTCTACATTTTTACTTTCTTTTGTCATTACAAATTATATACTTAAAAATTGTACCTACTGCGTAAGTCACTGAAACAAACTTAACAGTTTCATTATAAATTATCTGAAAGTTTCACGTATAAGAAATATACGGTATCAAAAAAGGTTTTTGTACTTGGTGACTCCAAAGGACACGACAGGTCTCTGACGCGAACCTATCCGTTACGGACCAAATTCTCTAGAGACATTTAAATCCAGCTCAACTTATTCTTTGTCCTCTAACAACTCTAGATGTCTTTTTAACTTTCCAACAATGAAAAAGTTTAATAATAACGTCGGTACTCTACTTATACTACAGTTGTAATCATTAAGTTAAATATAGGTATAAACTGACATGGTACTTGCGTCTACCATACATAGATGTTAATTTGATTTTAACAGTATTGAGTATAATAGGACCTAATGCTAGGTAGTCTTTTTAAACCCCCTTTGTAAAAAAGAAGACATTTTTCGCAGTCTATGAAATGGTATTATAAATATTTCTTTACTTTGTGTCATGTTATGATTTTTAATTCAACCTTTCTTTATTACAACATTTATATGTAACGTGATCTTATACTTAAAATGAATAGATTGAAATAGTTATTTTCGTAATTGTATTTGTCGTTTCTGTTACAATTTGCAGTAGTGATTTTTTAAATAAAATATTAAATTATTTTACTTGCTAAAGTTTAAAGTCGACATACTTGAAACGTTGTTCATGTACCAACTTTACGATTAATTCTGTTACTATAGGTACTACACTTAGGTAATGTGGATTGCTGAAATAAAATTGCATTTATTCGTTCCGAAATCTCATTTATATTGCAGTAATTTCCATCATTCTGTAAAGAGGCGATGGACCACTTTCCTGCACAATGTTGCGTTTAGTGATATGGACATTGTCAACACATTGTATTATGCTGTAAAAGTTTAGTTTATTGTTTCCATGTTAGAACGGCTACTTTATGTTGATAAACAACTATCATAGACACGCTGATGTTTTATTACCTGCTTTTTAAACCATAATATTTTGTTTTTATAACTTTCTATACAGGAATGGAACTTACTATGTTTTGACATAGTACAATTGACGTACATATATAATTATTAATAGTATTGTAAGTAATATGTATAAACATAATAAACATTTTGTTTAATATAATATAGTTCTTATCGTATAAATCTTAGTGTTCTTGTATATCAAGTATAACGAAAATAACTGCAATGCATTGGTCAGTCGGTGATGTTGAATTATATCATAATCATATTAAAACTTTGCTGCTTTCTGCATTTACACCGTTACGTTACCCAAAATGTATTTTACATTAAAAGAAAGGTCCATCTTATTTTTTAATACGTATATGATAGTCAGGTAAAATTACTTATTAACAGACATATTTAAAAAGCTAATAATAATATATAATAAAAACACATGCAACAGTCAGTAAACTCACAATATATGGTTTGTTGTCAAGTATGGGAAATATGCACATGCGAATTACAGGTTTAGTGTAACGTAAAATGTTAAAATCTATTAAAAGAAGTTAATTTTGTGAAGATGATGTGAAAACAAGAAGATTCCAATTAAAAACGAAATGCAAACCGTCAATAAAGGTGTCCCAGTTAGAAGTTGTTCAATTTACCAACTGGTTCGCATTTCATTGAAACCTCCCGTCCGAGTCTCCAACAAAAAGTTCCAACATGTTGAAAACAGTAACTTTTGGGCAAACAAATTTGAAAGTAAGAACTCAGTTATACGAAACTTAAAAGAGAATTCCAAAGGTAAGATGATACTTAAAACTAATTACATATTCTTTTTTATCTCCTTGAATAATAGATATTGAATTTATAATTTGTTTTATAACTAATTATTGTTATTTATATATCTCGCACCACTAAAATATGAAGAGTCCTACACTATCAACTATGCAATATGATGTTATCTATGATATCAACAACTATTTGATTTCCTATTTTTAACCGAAAGACAGAACATAAGAAATACAAATTGAATTCTACATATTATTTCTAAAGTCAGGTCAGGATTGAACTCACGATCTTTGAAGTGTATACATAGAGATGGTATTCCACTAAATAACTGTGTATTCTTATTTCAGATTGTATTATATGCATATTTATTTAGACTGGTAAAATAATAAGACAGTTATTTTCGTGAACTATACCAACCAAAACTAACGCTCGTATTTTTAACTAAAAAAAGTAAACTAAATTAAAATTGTTCTTTATTTTCAAGTAAGAGTAGAAATGGATTCAATTCAAGACAAGGACTCCAGGGGCCCTACAAAATAGATCCCATAGGATATATCCACGTATAAAACTGAAATCGCGTCCGCCGATATCTTTGGGCGGTAAAAACAAACCGAGAGTGAGGGAGGGGCGGGCATGAAAGTTGTCACCGAGCCGCGCAGTCAGCGAGAAATGGAGTAACCCATTTTAAACTAGAATGAATTGTACGACGTGGACTCCAGGTTCAACGGAATGCTGCTCATCGAAAAACTTACTGCTGTACTGTTTTACGAACATTAAATTTAATATTAAAAAATATATTACTTAACCAAGAATCCTTAAAAATAAAGTCAAATATGTCAAAATAATTAATAATTAAAATCTTATCTATACTATTCCTTTATTTTAGTCTACATTATTTGCACACGAATTTAAAATTAGTAATAATGAACCTATTACTAATTTTGAATTCTTGTGGAATTTTTTTCATCTTTTGAATACATTTTTGGATTTCTGTTAGTGTCTCACACTCAGAAAAGCCAGTCAGAAATATAATTTTTTTTGCTGATACCCAGTTTGTACGTAGTGCTGATATTCACTATCATTACGATTTTGTTATTCCAGCCAGGAAACAAACTCCTATATAACTTCAAAATTTTACGACTTACAGAAGCCCAACAAAGAAGTCGCCAAAATTTGACCAATTCATTTTTAAAAGTAAAACTAAATAAAAGTTCTCTAAATAAGTTGTTCGTTGAATGCTGAATCGGTATGTTAAAAGCAAAGAGCCATCTGACACGCCCTGCTAACTGGCACAAACTACCGTACCAATATTGACTTTGCTCCTTAAAACTTCCTCATTCATTCTCTATAATTAATATATTTTTTAATCTTTTTAATCGGGTAGACATTATTGATATGGCCCTTATTAAACCTCCATGTGACTACGATAGCCATAAATTTCGTGAATGTCGTTTAACGTTTGCATTTCTTTACTTTTCATTCAAATTTTAGCAAAACAAAGTAATTAGTTTTTAATTCATTTAAAACTCATATATAACTAACTAACTAACTCGCCCCGGTTTCGCACGGGTGCACATGTATTATATATATAAACCTTACTATTCAATCACTCTTTCTATTTAAAAAAAACCGCTACGTAGTTTTAAAGATTTGAACATACAGAGAGACAGACAGAGACAGCGCCTTTATTTTATATGTAATGATGATACAGAAATTATAAATTTACAATATATATATATATATATATATGTATGTATATAATACAAAATAACTATGTCTTTACATAAAAGATATATTATTAAATCTATTATCTTTGTATTATGAACTTTATAGTACTATATGCTATATCTTATATAAGGGAGACTTCATCAGCATATTATAATCTAAAACAAAGATAATATAAATATCATAACATTTGTTTCCTTTTTTACAAACGGTTTCGAAACAAAAAACAAAGTTTACCGAAAGTCGAGGGTTCAGGTATCCAAATAAGTAATAATAATAATATTTATTGAAGTGTCTTATAAAATTTAACATAAATATTACATTTATACAATTACTTATTTACTGTAATGATTTAAGAAAACAATACAAAGACATTTAAATAACAAAACGATGTAGATCAATTTATTTGTGGTCTGTAATTATGCAAATGCAGGTAAACAACTCCCGCAAGACCTTCGTTTGGCATCAAAGTATATTAGATAAATCTATTATTATATAATTCAGTTATCATTGGATAATTAACTTGTGATAATTAATATACATTTTCGTCTATGTGTGATGATATAATAATATTATAATCGGGAAAGTTTGTAAGTATGCATGTTTGTTACTCTTTAACGCAAAAACTTCTGAACGGACTTTGATGAAACTTTACAGTAATATAGCTTATGCTTTATCAGAAAACACATAAGACATATTTTATAATGAAATTTATTAAATTATTACATTCTTTTCTGTCTGTCCTTCTCTCCTATTATCCAGGATATGATACGACTAAATTAGAAAAACTAGTACTATTATATTTTCTTAACGTATGTAAACATAGCATTTGTACCATATTGCCAATTAATTCTGATTCCTGTAATATACCTGGTACATTAAAGAGCTTACGATTATATATAAATAAATAAATATTTTGTCCCTGTGACATTATTGGCAATTACAAACTCTTTTATATGTTATTAATAAATTACGACAAATTTGTAAAAACGTTTAAATACAATATATCCAGCTATACTCCTGACTGGTGAGTGACTCCGTAACTCGAGTTAGTAACCTAATCTGCAAAGACATAATAATAAAAATTCAAATAATAAACTTAATGAATGATAATCATATGAGGGTTTCTGCCTACCTCGCAATAAACCTGATATAAACGTCCGTGTAGGTAACAAATTTTGTAATTGTAAAATATCATTAAGTGTAATATAGCAAATCATACTCATATATTTACGAATATACGCCCATATTATATTCCACACATAAAATCATCTAATTTTATGAATCTCGTATAGAGAACAACAATCACTCTACTCTACTAGACCACTCGATTGATCCCTTGTGAGTCGCAATCTGGCTTGAGCCAATAAAGATCTTTTTGCCAATTGGTTGAGATCAGAATTCGTTCGAGACGTAACGTGGATTACTGCAAGGAGATATGGACTAATAGATTTAGTGAACATATATACTCAATTGAGACTTGATATTTATATTAAAATAATTATTAATAACTCATTGACGTCTTTTTGCACAGGAGTTTTCCCATTAGAAAAAGATATTAACTTACTATTATTGATTACGTGACTTGGTATATATATTATATATACCTATAATATTATATTAATACAATATATATATATATATATATACAATATTTAAGCTTGATTACATTGCTGGATACAGCTTTTATGTACCAGTTGGGAAGATCATCACCACGTATACAATTACAGGCAATGTTATCGATTAGTTTTATGATAATTCTTCCTTATTTATTATTAAAGGTTGTGAGTTAAATATAAGTAATAATAAGACATTAAATACTTTTTCTTATATACGACTTAAGTAAGTATCTTACGTAAGCTTATATTATAAAAACATGTGTATAACATTAGTTATGTTATACACATGTTTTTCTGGTGAATATGATAAATTGAAAAATACTTTATATTACCAGTGATTAGAATAGACTGTGTTATAGGTAGATAGTTTAGAACATTAATAAAAAATGCAAATTTAAAAGTAATAATTTTTATCATACGGGTAAAGTAGGTGCAATGTACTACAGCCTATAAGTATTATCTCTGTTTTGTTAACCTAAAGCAACTCGCATGGCTAGCTTTACTTAACTACCTTCTCTAGTAAATCACGTATCACCAACGTATTTGTTCAGGTAACAAAGTGATTGCTACTACACCTAAACAAATACTACCTATTGAGATTTTAACATTGAAATGTAAATGTCCGTGTATAAATACATGTATTTATATACTTTGATAAATTAGGTGATCTAAATCCTTTCAAGTAAATTTGAAACATATAGAATAACTTAAGTGTACTATATTTTAAGAATTTTAATTTATGTAAATATTAATACAAGCTATTATTTAGTAATCTTATCTTAGAAATACTGATTGTATGTTTATTTGCAATTTTATTGCTTTGATTTGCTTTGGCCTTATGTCTCTTTTTCTGTAATTAGATTACTTTCAACGGAACAGCTTATAAAGCAAGCTGGTGGATGTATGAATAACGAATTAAACACAGTGGTTAGCTGTAGTTAGAAAATCATAACCACGAATGTGTGTGATGGTCGGCATCCTACATACTCACCGTAAATAGCGCGTTAGTGCGTATAATCCATCCCGAATATAATAATTGATATCCCTATAATTAAATTTTGAAAGTCCCTCATCCCGCCACCGTAACCGAAATATGCGGTGTACTTTCGATAAAACATGAACACTTCTAAATGGAAATTCCGGAGTTAGCTTCGTTAACAACCCAACTTTATTCATTAGCGTGTATTGTCTACTGAATTTATTCGTCAGGTCGAACACGGCCAAACTCTAACAACATTTTGTGCTCCTTAAGACTTCAATAAATATTTTCACCGTATTTTGTTTATCTTACAGACACAGGGACGTAACTTTTATCATAAACAAAAGTTTAGTCATATTTGTTGGTGTTGGGCCCAATATCGAGATAAAGGTACGCTTTATCTTAACTGATGGTAGATAGCTGACCATAAATACATATTACATTGATATGGTAATTATTAATATATATAATAATGTAGTACAAAATAAATAAGTGTACATAAGCTGTATAAAAATGTGGTCACTTTTATAATTTAAAGTAACAATTATACAACATTCATAACAACATAATAGTATATTCATACAATGATAATAAGTTACAATAGTATTTTATATATGTAATATATTATATTATAGACTAATTAAAACGTATATCATTACATTTGTCAGGTAAATTAGTACAGAGATATTATATTCAAAATAAGACTAAATTGACTACATTAAGTATGTCAGATAAGTTATAGAGAAGTAATATATTATTATGATTGTCCAATCAGATTTATTAATATCTCATTATCATAAATCTGACATATAATTCAGTATTTGTCGATGCAATATTCGAACAATACAAAACTTAATCACCAGAAACAGTGTATTAACTAAATCGATTTAGGTAGTCCACAGTTTAATTAAAATTTGTTCTGGTAATTTAGGATTTAACCACTAAACAATGTGATTCGAATAACCAACCAAATTGACAGCCCACCTGAAGGAAATTGATAACCGATATCAATAATGTTACACGGATATCGCAAATTATATACAGTAATTAACGGTACAAATAATAATTAACGATACAATAACGGTAAAATTGGATGGTACCCATCCAATTTTACTTTCATATACCCTTCGAACTAGAACACCTATGTTAACTAGAAACCTATGTTTTTATGGAAATTTCCTATAATAATACGATTAATAAGGTAGTTCACGAGTAGACTGGGGATAGCGGTAGGTGTAAACTAAATTAATATTTAAATAAACAGTAGTACTATTATTTTAATAACTTATATTATTACTATATACAAATATTCTGTTTACAGATCTAATACAATTTTAAACATCAGTGAAAAAAGTTCATAACTCATGCTGCTTCTTTCATACACCAATGTTTCATGTACCTACATGTCTTCACGCACATGATCTTGGAGTTTGTCTAAAGTCTGCGTGTGATGGAATTACAACTTTTGT